CCCCCCCCCCCATGTCCTGTCCCCAAACCTCTTCCCAAGTGCTCGCCCTTCCTTTTCAGGACGGTAACAACGCCGTAGCCATCGCGCTGGAGGCCGGCCACAGCAACATCGCCGTGCTCCTCTACGCCCACCTCAATGGCACGAAGGCGCAGCTGCCGGTGAGTCCTGCAGCCCCCTGCCAGCTCCTGCCCCTCACAAGGGCCGTGGAGGTGGCACCGCACGACCGGCTCAGCTGCCCGGTGGGCAGGTGGCCCTGTGAGGGGGAACAGGGCTGTGACACAGACAGTGATCCCCAGGAAGGGGCTGCAGGGGGGAGAGCTGAGCATCCCAGGTGCCACACGCTCAGTGCATCTTCAGGGAACCAGCCTGGCTGGCCCTGACCAGGAGGTCCCTGGAGGGGTCTCTGGTGACATTTTCTGACTCTGCTTTCTCTGCAGCAGGGGACATCACTGACAGCCACCAAGAGCCCCGGGAACCCAAAGAAACCCATTTAGAATGACGCTGGGATCCAGCCTTGGGCCAGCTGGCCACCATCAGCACTGGGCTGTAATTTATGTCCCCTCGCCTGCCACCCCCGTGGGCCGAACGGTTCTCTGCGGCTGCAGATGCTTTAATCCTCCTGTCACTAGAGCAGGCACCGTCCCTGGGCCTCACTCGCCTGTCTCCACTGCTGGAAGCGGCCCACGCACAGCCACCTCGCTCCACCAAGTGACAGAGGAGCCAAGCATCAAGTGACCTCGGAGTGGGAAACACAGCGAGCAGAAGCCCCCTCCTCTCTGCTCCCCATCAGCCCTGCTCCCCGCCATGTCGGCCGGAGCTGCGCCGCCTCCAAGCCCTCTGCACGCCGTTAACTCACTGGAACAGCTGAAAACCAACCCGGCAGAACCAGCACCTGGTTTCTGCCCTCTCTTAGCCAGCTCCTGGCAGCTCCGGGAATGCAGCAGAGGCGGTGACGGGGAGCAGGGCTGCAGGAGGGCTGCGCGGCGCCGGTGGGGAAGCGGTGCTTCGAGTCCTGCGCAGAGACGGGAGAGGGGACACAAACCAGCTGGTTAACCCTGCCTCGGACACGGGCTGGGAGCACTTCCAGACTGCAATACTTGCCCTTCTTTTCTGGCATTTCCTTTCCCAGCCGAGATCTGAATTTCTTTCTAGCACATGCACACAAAGCAAAACAAAGTATATATTGCTTAGTCAAGGGATGGAGTAATCACTCAGCCGTTTGATTTGCTCAATGGGAGCAAAACTTCTGGGCGCTCGGGGCTGCAGCCAAGCTGACAGAAGGGGGCCAAGAGCCGTGAACATATTTAGGGACTGAGACTGCCCAGCTGATACCCCACACAGGGAGCAGGGACCTTTTCCCCAGGGAAAGCGAGCCATTTCCTCAACATTTCCCGGTTTAAACAGTCTCATAGCCACTGACTGTGACACAACCAGAGCCCCCACCCAAATCCCTCCCAAAGAGGGGGAAAGCAGCTGAGGATAGCTCCAGGAAAAAAAAAAGATCGGCCAGAAGAGCTCAGGGAGCCAAGGGCCTGCAGAGATGGACGCGTATGTCAGAGGACGTGTGTGCGAGCGTGCGTGCACCAGGCAGGGTGGGAACGGACAAGGTAAGGACTAAGGACCGGGAGAAAAAAAGAAAAAGGCTTTTGCATGTGAAGCCGGCTCCGCTCTGAATCCTTCACGTAGGTGACACGTGTTGCAGCCCCCATTTCTGCTCCTTGGCCCAGCCTCCCCCACCATCACTCCTGCCCCACCCAGGCCTGGTCTGAGCCATCCTGCAAACTGGGAAATGCTGGGAAACACACCCCAAGAACTTGTTCTGGGCAACACGCTGCTGTCCTCACAGTGGGCCCGTTTCAGCTTTGCACTGACGGTAATATACAGCTCACGGCCACTCTCTAGTACGCTACTTTATGTATTCCATAGCCACTGCTTTGGTCTCACAGGTTTGTTTACTGATATTTTAATACTGATGTTTATTTTTAAGAATGAAATAAAATTTAAAGTAAAATTATTTTGAAATATTACAGTGACCATCAGCAGTCTCCTGCCTCCTTGCCTGGCTCAAGATAAAACCCTCCAAACAGCTTCAGCAGAGGCACAGCCCAGCACAGCCCTCGCCCTGAGCAGTTCTGTCATTCCCTGCAAGTTTATGGCCTGGCTACATCCATCAGTCTGGTTTTCTTCCAGCTGAACTGTCCCAGTCGGGTACCGTGGTGTCTTCTGGCCTGTTGCACTTCAGTGGACCAAGCGGGACGCTGGGAGCAGACACAGCCCTTCGCTACCCTGGGTTCACTCTGGTGCTCTGATACTAAGCTGTATTTTTGAAGGGCAATTACCCGATTGAGAGCGGGGATGCAAAGTCACACCCCTCCCTGCCACGAGGCCAAGGGCCACATCGACCCCACAGGGGTATGTGGGAAGGGCTACAGCTGCTCTGAGCCACCCCCACAAGTTTATCTCTGTCTGGCCACCAACTCACAGCTGATGCCTCCTGTCTCGGTCCCTCAGCACACCCAGGGCTGGCAGCCGCCAGAGTAAACACTCCTTGGTCATTGCTAAAGCTGTGCAGGGAACAAACAGCAGCCAGAGAAGTAAACTCCAAGGTGAACTTCTCACACCCATCGCTAGTTCCCAGAGCTCTGCTGCGTCACACAAACCAGGACAGTGCGGGCTCACGCAACGCTCTGAAACTGAACCACCACCAAAGAGAACGAAGAACTGGATCAAGCAACAGCATGAGCACATGTTGACAAGGGCTTTCTCCAGAGCACAAAATCTACCTCAGGCTGCCCACGAGCTCACCAGGGCACAACTAACACTCACAGGTGAAGAAAAAAAAACGCACACACGCTCTTTCAACACCAGCCCTAACAGCAATCCTTACTATCTGCCCGAGTTTGTTGATTTGAACATCTATTCCAGACAGTGTTCTCCTCAGCTTTAGGATACTGAAACCCTCAGTCCCACCTGCCACTGAAGTGCCTTAATCCAGCTCAGGACATTGAAGGATGAAGAACATTCCCATCAGAGGCCACAGGATCAGCAGCTGCAGACCTGACTCTGTTCCAACACACCACAAACCAGCATCGCTCTATTACCAGATGGAAAATACCAGTATTTAAAAAACAGCCCTTGAACTGTGACATTTTCAGGCTCATTCCTAACCCTTTCAGCCTTACTTTTACTTTATGGAATAGCCTAAACCAATAAATCTTTCTAGCTAATTGTGTGGTGGAAGTGAAAGCTGAGGAAGAAAATAGGAGATCGATTTCTTCTCTGAGACGAGAGACAAGCACTCACTCTCTGTGGGCGACTGCCAGGGAAGGCAGCAAGTAGGTGTATTTATAGCAGCATTTACAGAATAACTTACTGAGGACAGAAAGACAGAAGCAGCAGGCTGTTGCTTTGCAAGCTGGTACAAAGCTTGACTTTCAACTTGTAATCCAATTCCACAGAAGTTCAGTGAGTTTAGCAGTGCCACTTCACCGGTTACACACAGAAAAATGCTCACTAGGAACATTGGCATTAAGGCTGCTGTCATCAAAACAGACATTTTTGTTTCAAGTGACAGGTTAATAAAAATGTCAAAACAGCGGAATATTATGATGTAGGCATTACTTTTAACCCAGTAACAAGCCGGGTGTGCTTTTGTCCCTCGGCTGAACCCAACAGCAAAAGGCAGGCGCGCCAGTCCTGTGCCAACCCAGAGCACTCACACATCCAATAAGCGAGACCCAGGCCAGGGGCTACTGGAAAAACCCTTTATTGCAGTAACGCAGCCGTACGCCCCTCTCCGTCCCTGCCGCCCGTCGGGCCGCGCAGACGCCAACCGACCGCTGCGAGCAAACGCCGCCCGGCTCCATTCTGTGACCCGTCACCTGAAACACAGCAGCGGAGGCCGCGCC